TTCGTTGAGTAACCGTCTCTGCCGGAGGAGGGAGGGACGGTTTGTGGTGGCATAGCTCTCACTGGATGGATGGATGGGCTGACGTGTGTACGAGTGTTTGTCTGGGTGGCTGACTGGGTTGCTGCACCCATGAAGGCGGTGCACTGACTGACTAAGTGATGTGCGTGCGTCATGCAGACCTGCAGGTTAATTCAAGGTTCCCGTTCACGGCCCCTCGCCGAAACCCTTAGCCCCAGAAACCCTACGGCTCGCCAAATTGATCACAGTTTCGCCCCAAAATCGCTCTCTCAGGTGCCTTTGACACTTCACCATGGCCTCCCGGTGAGTTCTTCGTCGATATTTGTCGAAAAAGAGCCTTTGCACAGCGAAAAAGTTCTGGATGACGTCGTCTGTGTGTGTGCAGAGAAAGAGAGGGAGGCATCGGTATTAGCAAAGCCGACTTCAGCACAGCACCATCCACACAGCAGGTCCGTACGTCGACACACGTTTCTCATGAGGATGATGATGCACAGGCGCAATAATGACCTTCCCGGTTCTCTGCAGGATGCCATGGAGCCTTGCCAGCACGAGGGCGACCGCACCCCCGACAGCAACAGCACCAACAGCACCATCACCACCACCACCAGCAGCAGCAGCGATGACCCGATGGTCGCCAGGTTCGCGGACCAGGAGCGGTTCAAGGCCGAGAAGCTCCTGCTGGAGAACAAGGCCAAGGCGCTGGAGGAGAGCCAGAGGCTGCTCCGAGATCTCCTCCATCAGAGGGACAAACAGATCCGACAGCTCCAAGACGAGAATGCAGAGCTAGACAAAGAACGGGCCAAGTGAGCGACAACAGATCAGATCCACATAAAACCACTCGCCCGTCAACCTCTCTCTCTCTCTCTCTCTCTGTGCAGCGCCGAGTGTCGTGCTGAGGCGCTGGCCATTCTGGTGGAGACCGTCACGCATGAGCGGGACACCCTCTCGGCCGCCAATGACGTGACGCGGCTGATCCCCACGCCGCCGACGGACCACAGCAAGGCGGGAACGTCCAATGGGGCGGCTCAGCGTGTGATGGACTACCTGTGGCCTAGGGAGAAGGAGAGGCGGGAGGCCGCCATGGAGACCGAGCGGCGGGAGCGCGACGAGTGGGCACAGAAAGTGGCCGAATTTAGGAAGAGGTGAGCAGTGGGATCTGTCTGCCTGTCTGGGAGGGAGGGCGGGTGGATGGATGGATGGATGGGTGGGTGGCTGGTGAGAGCTCGGTATATGTGTGTGTGTGTGTGGCTGTTGTGTGTTTTGTGTGTGCAGTGTTGAGGGTTTCAGAGGGTCGCTGGACGATGCCTTGGAGAAAGTCAAGGCCAGCGAGAAACTACAAAACGATAGGTAGGTACTTCGCAACTCCCACCAACCAAAACCAACGATCACGATGAAGAGATCACAAATCTTCCTTCGTGTGCCCCTGGTGCTTGCGTGTGTGTGTGTGTGTGTGCAGATTGTTGCGGCTCAAGAGTCGGCTCAAGCAGTGCATGACCGACAACGCCGCACTCCAGGCCGACCTCCGCACCAAGGCAAGAAGGCCACACCCCTCTGTGTGTGTGGTTTTGTGGGCATCCCTCCCTCGTGTGTGTGTTGGCCATCCATCAGAACGACATCCTGAAGCAGCTTGCGTTGGAGCGTGACCAGCAGGTGCGTGAGATCGCCCACGCCATGCGGCAGATGAAGGACACACGGGACAGTGCCGCGCAGCTCGTCAAACGCACCAAGGAAAACGCTGATAGCAAAATCGACGCCACCAAGTACCTGCCTACTTGAGCGAGCAATGGAGGACTGGATGGATGGATGGATGGTGTGCTCTCTATTGTCTCTCCCTCTCCCTGTGTGTGTGTGTGTGTGTGTGTGTGTGTAGGAAGCGCAATAAGGACTTGGCTGCGGAGATCGAGGGGCTGAAGGAGGACAAGAAAAGGTACCCATCAGCAACACACACACGCACCCAGACCAGCTCACATCGCGTCGTGTTGTGTCGTGTGCGTGTCGGTCCACCATCAATCAGCCTCACGGCTCGCGTAGACAAGTTGCTCAAGGCGCAGGATGACCACCAGCTGGTCGTCGACAAGCACAAGAAGGCCGCTGAGGAGGCCAAGACCAGATACACGTCGTAAGCAAGCAACCAACCAACCACACACGTGTCTTTGTCAGTGTGTGTGTCATGGGCGTGTTGTGTTCGTGCGTCGCGTCGTGTGTATATGCAGAGACCAGGCGCGCATAAAGGAGGCGAATGAGGCGCGCAAGGCCTTGGCCAAGGACCTGGCCAAAGAAAAGACCGCCGTAGCTTCCCTGGAGGACAAATTCAACACGTTCGTCAGCCTAACTCAGCGACGAAGGAATCATCCATTTCGCATTCTCATCTCTCTCTCTGTGTGTGTGTGTGGTAGGTTGCGTGAGGAGTGCGACCGTCGCCGAAAGGGGTGGGAGTCGGCCGAGAGGGACTGGCACAAGAAAAAGGGCGACATGGACAAAGAGCTGGCGCGGTAAGCACACACACCTGCCCGCCAACCCCCCACCCACCCCCATCCCACCACACACCCATACCCACTCGTGTGTCTGTGTGTATGTCAGTTTGCACAAGGAGCTCGAGGAGAAGAGCGCCCGGCTGGTCACCGCCGACGCCGAAGTCATGCGATCCAAAAACGCCGCAAAAGTCGCAACCGAAGACAGAGACAAGTACGCCACCAGCCCACCCCCC